TAAAATTTTATTTTGAAACGAAACGAAACAAAACAATTTTTTTTCTCGGTCACTACAACTCTCCCCACTTAAAATAATTTCGTCTTCGAAATTTAACTTGCTTGTTTTATGGAGATCAGGATACTTGGCTAAAATGTCTTCTTCTCTTTCCCAAGTAACCTCATCCTCACCATGTCTACTCCACTAGACTTTGACTAGTGGAACCTTTCGATTTCTCATGACATGGTCATTTCTCTTCAGAATCACTGCACGAGCTTCCTCATACGTCACATCACTCCGAACGTCCACTGATTAAACATTAACTACATGATTAGGATTCGAAATGTACTTTCTCAACATAAAAATGTGAAATACATTGTGCTCTGCTGAAAGCTCAGGTGGCAGTGCTAACCGACATGCCACATTCCCAATCTTTTCAAGAATCTCAAATGGGCCAATAAATTTAGGACTCAACTTTCCTTTCTTTCCAAATCGTAGTATTCCCTTCATCGGCGCGACCTTGAGAAATACTTTCTCTCCAACTTCAAAAGTCAATTCTTTTCTCCTTTTGTCGGCATAGCTCTTTTGACGATCTTGGACAATCTTAATTCTTGATCTAATTTTACGTATAGCCTCCACAATCTTTTCGACCAATTCTGGGCCCAAAATTCTACTTTTACCAACTTCATCCCAGTATAATGGCGAATAACATCGTCTACCATACAACTTGGTACCTGCAGCTGCCTGAAGACTTATCCAAAACTTTTAAGTAAACCTCAGGTCTCTATTTGATACGATAGATGCCGGAACTCCATGAAGCTGCATAATCTCCCGGACATAAATTTGTGCGAGCTGTTCTAAGCTGTAGGTTGTCCGAACTAGCAAGAAATAAGCAAATTTTGTAAGTTGATCCACAATCATCTAGATCGCATCATGACCTCTCACTGATCTAGGAAAATCGATGACAAAATCTATTGCAATCTTTTCCCACTTCCATTTAGGTATGTCCATGGGTTCAACGGTCCCGACGGTCTTTGATGTTCAGCCTTCACCTATTGAGAAACCATGCATTTGGAAATGAATAAAGTTATCTTCCCTTTCATATTTCTCCACCAAAATGTGTTACGTAAATCTTGATACATTTTAGTTTCGCCTGGGTGGGCGGAGTAAGGAGTTGAGTGAGCCTCGGCCATAATTTCATTTCTCAACACTTCATCCTTTGGCACGTACAACCGATCCTTAAACATCAAGGCTTTGTCTTCGGCTTTCAAATCCTTTCATCTTCTCAATTCCGACATCAGACTTGATCTTTTCCAAAAAGGAAACATCTTTCTGAGTAGCTACTATTCTGTCCCTGAGCGTCGGTTTCGTAGTAAAACTTGCTAAC